AATAATAATAATAATAATAATAATAATGAACAAGCAAAGTATGGTGGTGCACACTTTTAATACCAGCACTTAGGAAACAGAGGCAGGCAGATCTCTGAGTTCAAGGCTAGCCTAGTCCACAGAGTGAGTTCCAGGACAGCCAGGGATATACGGAAAAACCCTGTCTCAGAAAAAAATATAGAAATTCTGCATAGCACATCAATCTAATCTCTTTGTGACCTCCTCTTTTGGCACTCTTTTATTTTGTTTTGGATGAAGCCAAACCTGCTTCTCTTAAATCAAGTTTCTTTGAAATCTCATTTCTTCCTTTCATTCCCACTCTGGTCTGTGTTTGTTCTTCCTTCCTTTACATATAGTCTCATTGGCTTGAACTCAAAAAACTCATCTTGCCTCAGCCTCTTGGGTGCTGAGACAGCAGGCGTGAGACACGAACCAGCTCTGCCACTCATTCTTTTAAATCACACGATTTAATGACGATTAAATGACATTTTCAGAACTTAGTGTAACATCTTGTATATAGTAAATGCTTAGTGAATGATAGTTGTCATCTTGCCGCACTAATAACACTAGTCACATATTCTTCAGTTCAGTATGTCTCAAATTTGATTATGAGGATTATTATTTCTTCAAATGCAAAATACATTTCAGCGGGTAGAAAGTAGGATCTGAGACTCAATTCTTCCAAATGCTTCTGGTTGGTGCCAATGCTGTTGATCCACGGGCCATACTTTGAATACAAGACTTTAGTAAGCTTTATTAAAATGCATATTAGTCTTATCTGCTCAGCTGGATAGTAAGCTCTTAGAAGACATTATTCATCATTTGTCTTAGAAAATGTACCCTTAAAAGATGCTCAACAAACATCTGTCGACTTATTGTATCTCTATGGTTTATAGATGATCAAGAATGTTTATACTATATTGATTTTCAAATCAAATGATAAACTATGCCAACAGGAAGAGCTTACTTGACAACTGGAGTCACAGTTGCTTGCTTGCATGGAAGCAGGGAGAACCTGGTAGAAAATTTTACCTCTTGACAAGTGAGGATATAATAAAGGAAGCAAGAATGTGTCAAATGATCACCTTCTCTATGATAAAGTGTGAAAATCATTAAAGTGAAATATTAATTACACTTCAAATTTAGCTATGAACCTTAAATAGCATATATATATATATATGTATATATATATATATATATATATATATATGCATGCTTGATTTAATTTTTAGTAGCATACACATATTTTTCAATAAACTTTTAGTGTACAATTAATCTAAAGTTCTTGGGCTATATTGAAATTTCAAGGAAAAGAAAGAAGTACCCTCCAGTTTTCTCATGAACCAGGTCAGACATCAGGGCTCCATGTTACACTGTCCACAACTACACAGATAAGAAATTCAAAAGAATCTTCTGTATATTAACATGGATCTGAAGAGCTACCTATTTTAAGATTTATTTTAAATCTGAAATTATTTAGATGCTTCTTAAAAATCCTCTTTATGTTAGCATTCTATAATTCAGATGGGACCAATATGTCTAAGTTCTACTGGGATACTACATTCTTCCTATTCAAGTACCATAAAAATGGCATTGGGTATATATTACACCTGTTTATTCAGTTCTGGTTAGGTGACTTAAACTATGAGACAAATTATTTAAATTAGCCTTCAAACCCAAAGCACCCTTATAAGCTACTGTGTTTGTCATAAGCAGCCACCTGCTCCTTAATTCAGAGACATTTCAATAAAACCACTCATCAATATTTAACTGAGGTGTTTTAAACAAATTTAGACATGTTAGAAGATGACAAAATTCTTGGAATTGCTATTATTTACAAAAGCACAGAAGCACAGAACTACCATCAAGTCGCAGACTCAAACTCAGCTTAAGAGTTTTAATAAATCAATGTTATTACTCCAGAGAAAACCATAAGGCAGTGGAGAGTCAGCCCACAGGAAAGTGAATTCTATTACTTCCATCAGAAATCTAGTCTCTAGGGCAAAGCAGATTCTCTGGTTTACACCAGGCACTCTTCCTAGAAAATAATCCTATCCAAGGAGAATTTCAAATCTCAACTCTCTCATTTCTAAATAGATTCACTGTGAGCCTTCCCATACTCGTATAAACACTTATCTACCTATCCGTGGGTATCTAACTAGCAATTAGAACCAAGAAATTAGTTTCAGTGGGGCTGGGACAAAGCTCACAAGAATCAGATGCTTGCACAGAAAAATGAAATATCAATGTTAGTCTCATTCCTCCCTATTTCCTGGCTTTTCTTTATGATTCATTTTTTTAACTGTTCACCAGTAACTCTTAATGTCACTAATTTCTGAAATAGTCTTAATAACTCTAGATTCCTTTGTTAACCGTCTCAGGTATCTATTGTGTCACCCAAATGAGTGTGAGTTTTCCAAAAGGCCCCCAACACTGTCTAACCCCTAAAAGAAGTGTATTATTACTATGTATCATAGTAATATTATTACTATGTATCATAGTAATACTCTAATAATGAGACAATATAGAAGGATGGCAGCAGTGAAACCAAGCAGTCCTAAAGTTAAGATGTTACTGTACCATTTGTACAGCTGAAAGCTGTAAACTCATCACTTACCTGTTCTAAGTCCCAGTTTTCTGGTGAAGATCCAATAGAATATCACATTAAGAGTCCTTACTAGAGAGTCTGACTTACAATGGGTGTTTAAATAGAGCTAGCTTCCCTTCCCTTCCTCCTGAACAAACACTTGTTGATTTGAACTGAGAGTGATTCTTCCAGGAGACTGCCAGTGGCACTACTGTCATACTTTCCCCCATCATCCTCTTGTTACTCCCCATGACCTTTGTTATTTCCTGATAAAGGTCTTTTCTGCTCCACTATCTTGAAAAATAAGGGCCAACCACACAACCCACCCAAAGAAAATGATTCCAGCATGGTAACAGCAGGAGGACTGCAGCTCTAGGTGACAGTCACTTCCACCAGCTCACCAGCACTCCCTCCCTCCCTCTCTACAAGTCTCTCAGTGAAGGAATGACAGAGAAAGCACATTAGGGAAGCAGCTAAAAGAGAAATAAACAGCTCTGGGGTCCCTGTGTCTTCCTCTTGGGAAGAACTCTCAGGTGCAGGCACCAATCAACCTCATCCCCTTAGGAAAAACAAAACAAAAACTCTTCCTCACATTCTTAAAGAAAAAAAAAACACCTCAGACTTGTGGCCTTTTCATGTTTCCAGACCCACCAGTCAACCCACCATCCACCATTGCTTAAGTCAGCTTCCTACTGCATCAAAGAAACCACTCTGAAGCTCTTAATTAGTCTTCAGTGGACCTCCTTCATGTGTTTCTCAACCCAACCTAACACCTTCCCCAATTTTCCCCATACCCTATGTATCTTTAAAAAGAAAAAGGAAAGCATTCTGGAAGTTTCCCCTTTACTGCAGTAAGGCCAATCATTTTATTTGTGTCCTTTAACAATCTATAATATTTTTACTTAGGTCTTTATCATTCAGCTGAAAAGCCACTATCGTTTACACACAAACACAGGAGCAGGAGCGCGCACGCGCGCACACAGAGGGGGGGGGAGAGAAGGGAAGAAAAAGGGAGAGGAAGAGAGAAAGAGAGAACAAACATGTAAAAACATACATCCCCTCCCTGCTCCATATACACAATAATCTCATTATTTTTAAACAGATGTCAATCACACTCAGAGACATCTGTGATCTAACCCACCTTGATGACAAGGTTTAAAAAAACAAAACAAACAACAACAAAAAACACCTATCCACTTTAAATACTAATATCCACTCCCAATTCATTCCAGGCCTTGCAGACTAGAATCTTTTTCGGTTTTTCGGTGTCCTTTATTTTGATGGCCATCTTGGACCATTTTCACCTTAGCTTGTATGTGTCTAAACTGTTAAGTCTGCCCCCCCCCCGAAGTATTTCATTTTCGTGGTTTTTTTTATTAGTTCTTTGAGGATGTTGTACAACCTGTTTTGATCATATTCACCCTCCCCCCCCCAACTCTTTTCAGATCCATCCCCCCCTTCTCTTCCCACCCAACTTTGTAGTGTCCCCACCACCACTGTCATGGCCAATATGTGCTGCCCAAATATTCTTGGCTGTGTGGCCTTCCTCTAAAGCGTGGTCGACATATCACTATTTTTAAGCCCCATCGGGTGCTTATTGAAGTAGCTTGCTCTGCCACCGGCCCTGAGGCCACCGAGTCCTTTACCTCAGGACCCAGGTCTCTGGGAGGTCGGTGCCTGCCCTCGCCCCTCCCACACACGGACACCTGCTCATCCCGGGTGCTCTCCCGGGTGACCTCGAGGGTCCATCTTCACACCCTGCCCCCGGCGGACCTCGCAGGGGCCTACCAGTCGGTGTGCGGCTCGTCGACCACCAGCAGCACCTTGGCCTTCCTGGAAGCAGCCGAAGGCACGGGCGCGTCCACCAGGCCGGCGGAGGCGGCCGTCTGCTTCACGGCTTGCGACAGCGAGCTGAAGAAGCTGCTGCCCACCGACGGCGTCGGCGCGGGCTGCGGCGCGGGCTGCGGCGCGGGTGCCTGGGCGGGTGGAGGCCTGCGCTCGGGGCCGGGCGAAGCAGCTGAAGTGGCCGCCGACGCCGTAGCGGCACCGGGGCCAGGGGCGGGAGGGGGCTGCTGCGGCTCTGGGCGCTGAAGGTCAGTCATGTAGCCATTGGGCAGGTTGGCGATGAAGCTGCTGTCCGACAGCCGGCGCCTCAGGAAGTTCATCATCTGGCTTGAGGGGCTGAGGGCGCTCGAGGCGGCGGGCCAAGCGGCGCGGGGAGGACGGCGCGGGGCGACCGAAGGTGGTCCGCGTCTCCGTGAGAGCCCAGCAGACAGCCGCGGCGCTCTGGGTCTGGGGAGCGAGCCCGTAAGCCAGAGAGCAGTGGGCGGTGCCTAGGGCGTGGCTACTGCTGTCTCCGCCCCTCTCTGCAGAGCCTGCTCCGCCCCCGCCTACTCGCGCGCGCCCCGCCTTCAGGCTCTGGCGCAAAGAGAAGGGAGAGTCTGCCCTCCCGCCACCTGAGCGTGACTGTGTGGTAACCAAGCGCTCTTGAAGTGGGGAGGGAAGGGAAGCCGAGAGTCTCCCACCGTCATCACCTCCATGGTTTAAAGAGGAAAGTGGAGTCGTGTCCCAGTTCCAGGCGAAGACACCTTCCTAATGCCATCTAGGTAGAAGAGAGGTGTCAGCTTCCCTACCCTGAGGTGAGAGGTGAGAGCTACACCAGCCCCTCCTCCACTCTCTGGCGTGTGTACACGCGCGCGCACACACCCAGGGACACCATTCAGTGAGCAAAACGAAGCGCCTCTTTTCCTGAAGCTCAGGAGAAAGATGGCAACGGCCCCAACTTTCAGATGAGAAGGAATAGACTAATCTGTTGCTGCTAACTCACACCCTGTATGCTGAGACAGCAATGAATGACTGGCTGAATGAATGAATGAATGAATGCTGCCTACCCATGCTGTGTGGAAAAAACCTTTCCTTGACCCAAGAAGAGGGAGTCCAGACAACAGTAAGGAGGAAGGAATCTAAGCAGACCCTCTCCACACTGCCCTGGAGGGCATTTGGAGGCAATTTCTGTGGCCCACCTAATAGTGCACAATTCTCTCACTGACCAGAGAAAGAGCCACAAGTAGGCTGGAAATCTCTTCTCAGGATCTCTCAGACAGAAAGCCAAGGCTACTCCCTCAGTTTGCTTCCCTGACATACATTGGTTTATTCTTTCAATATTGTAGAGAGACCCAGTCCTCTAACTGACCATCTCCATGAAGGTTTATCTGATTACCAACTTCTCTGTGCACTCTCTAAATTTTGTGTGGTCTTTAGACCTTTGTTTTGATCTGTCTTCAGATATATTAGTCCCCTACATTGTACAGGAACAAAATACAGCAGATGTACTTGCTGGGCAGACCACCTGGAGTGATGCATGACTTTGGACAAATTACTCCTTTGAACCTTTTTCTTCCACGGCTAATAAAAACAAAGCTGTTGGAGTAAATGAGAACATGTAGGTAAAGCATCTGGTACACTGTAGCTATTCCAGTAGTGGTGCCTAAATCCTTATTATTATCTGGATTGGTTCTCGGTAGTATTAACTAGGCTTAATGGAATCAGTGAGTGTCTTGACATTATTGTTAGCAGGATGTTCCTGTTTTGTACATCCCAGTTCGTGCTCAGCTCTGAACCAATGGCATCAGAGAGGCCTGCAGCCAATTGTGAAAATGAATAAATAACCAATAAAATTAGAAAGCAACCCTTGTCTCACGTAAACTCACAACTAAAAGCCAAGGAATCAATATAGAGATGGGAACAATCAACCACAATGAGATGTGAGAAATTCTGTAAATCCGTTGGATAAGGTGATTTTCGGAACAACAGAGACACAGGATTCCTTCACCTCTGAGGCTTAGGCAAGGCTTCTCAGGAAGTAATGTTTAAGATAGGTCTTGAGGCATGTGGTAAAAGTTAACATAACTGGAGAGATGGCTGTGTAGTTTGGAACACTTGTTACTCCTCCAGAGGAGCCAAGTTTGGTTCCCAACACCCAGGTCAAGTGACCTATGATCACCTGTAACCACAGCTCTAGGGAATATAACACCCTCATCTGGCCTCCAAGGGCATCCACACACACAGATCATAACATTTACACAGATACACTGTGTTGGTTACTGTTCTGTTGCTGTGAAGAGACACCATGACCAAGAGAACTTATAAAAGAAAGCATTTAATTGAGGCTTGCTTAGTTTCAGAGGATTCGTCCATTATCATCATGGCAGAAATCATGGCTGGTGGCAGGCAGGTGAATATGGAACTGAGAGCTTACATCTTAATCTATAGTCAGACAGGCAGAGAGAGTCAGAGACAGAGACTGGGCCTAGCATGAACTTTGGAAACCTCAAAGCCCAGTGACAGACCTCCTCCAACAAGGTCTTCTAGTCCTTTCCAAACAATTCCACTAACTGGGGACTAAGCATTCAAACATGATCCAATGAGAGCCATTCTCATTCAAACTAACACACGTACACACACATACATATATACACATAAATAAAAAGAAATCTATCTCTCTCTCCTCAACCACCACATGGCAGAACAGGCCTCTCCTCCACTACTTCTAAATCCGCCATTAACCTTTTCTCCCTAACAAGAATACCCAAAACAATGTTCGTGCTTTCCCACCATTAATGCCTTTTCCCCTAACAGGAATGCCTAAAACAACAGTGTTTGTGCTTTTCAACCCAAAATTTTTTGCTTTTTGTCTAAATGTCTCCTTTTCTCTCTAACACCCATGATATATTCCCAACATTTTTTTCAACTTTTAAAATTTCTTCAAGGTTTGAAAGTCATCTAAATCTATTTCCACAGGTTAAATCAACATGCTGATCACCACGACCTTTCAGCTTTTAATTAACAACTAATTTTCCTTCACAGACAAACTGTGGATGATTACTCCAGATATTATTAACACAATGTTTTCTCCTTTAGCCATCCAATTTCCTCAAACACCTTTGGCTTTCCAGGAGCGACTTCATACTTAATATCCAGGATTTCCAGACATCTCCCTGCCAGAGATGCTGCTTCCCTGTGATTATACCCACAGATCCAACAGAGACAAGCTGCCTACATCTCGTCAGACCACAGACTCCAGAGACGAGCTGATGCCGAGACAGCGCCATCTCCTGAAACCTGACAAGCTGCCATCTTCCAGTCATCTCATCTGACTGAAGACCCAGAGATACTCGATACCAACTACAGATGAACTCTTGCCAAAGCCACATAGCTGAAGTGATGTGTTAGTGAAGAAATCATAATGTCTATTTAGATTAATCAGATGTCATTATCTCAAATTGTACAATATGTATTTAATTGATTCGATGATCCCTTGCCTTCCCTACCCCCCCCAACTCCCCTTAACCTGTGACTTAATGGTGCTAACCTATCTGGCCTACATAGTGCTTTCTTTCGACTTCCTCATCCAAAATTTTCACAGTGACTCCCCCTTTTTTAAAAAAAGTAAAGGGGAGGAGATGTGGGACTACGTAAGGGTATCCTGGGTCATGGTTGAGCAGGTACCCTAGAACCCCGAGACTCTGCAGACTCTATGTGGGATTCTGCGTGAGAACCGGCAGGAGTTTGGCGCCCCCCCAGAATCCAGGATCCTGAAAAGCAGTCACGGTCTCCATAGAATTACATTGTTCAGTCACATAGGCCAGGCTATAGGCCTCAGGCCCTAGGGATTTACATACTAATGAAGGTCAGAGGGCAGAGCAAATTAAACATGCCTCCCCCAGATCCTCCCCCAATCCTCCCCCTTTCTCCCTCCCTATATAGCTCAGGACTGCCCTGAGTTTTGGGGGGTATGCCTAGATCCATCTATCATCCGCCATGACAATAAACCTTTTTGGAACCAAGGACTTCCTCGTGTTATTAGGGCCTGCCGCTGCCAAAGCCTCTAGGCCACTGGAACTATAGGGTTCCTCCCGAATGTGAGACCCGCCACAGTGTGGAAGCACCTGCGGGGCCCCACCGCTGTGGCGGCCTCTAAATTTCCCCCACATACATACACACACATACACATATATACACATAAATAAAAAGAAATCTATCTCTCTCTCCTTTTTCTGAGAATGTATCCATAGAGAAGTAAAGGAAACATTCAGGCAGAGAAATGGATTGTTTGTGAACTCATGGCTCCTCCAGAATGGGCTGTTTCATATGCTGACTTTGTCAGATCTCCTGCAAACATTATTCTAGTGACTAGGATGTGAGTTTTTCAAGTCCAGAACTGTGTCTTAGTCATATTTGATGACCACATCCAGAGTATTACCTTCCACATAGTAAGGATTCAATTGTTTGAGAATTGAACTCTATCCTTAAATAATTTAGTTCTTTCCCTACTAAAGAATAAAACTTATATCACCGATAACAAAATAAACATAATTAATCACACTTTCCTTCCTAAAATTCCTAAAAGTATTTTTTTAAAGAAAAATCAAAGACATCTTTTGCAAACACATGTTTCTCTATTGGCAGGATTTCAGAGGCTCTAGGTGTCTTAGGGTTGCTATTACTGTGATGAAACACCATAGCCAAATAACTTGGGATAGAAACGGGTTTATTCAGCTTCGGCTTCTACATCACAGTTCACCATCAAGGGAAGTGTGGACAGGAGCTCAAGCTGGAACCTGGAGGCAGCAAATGATGGAGAGGCCATGGAAGAATGCTGTTTACTGGCTTGCTCTTCATGGCTTGCTCAGCCTGCTTTCTTATAGAACATAGGACCACCAGTTCAGGGATAGCACCACCCACAATGAGCTGGGCCCTCCCCATCAATCACTAATTAAGAAAATGCCTTACAGACAGATCTTATAGAGGTATTTTCTCAATTGAAGTTCCCTCCTTTAGACAACTCTATAGTTTGTGTGAAGTTGACATACAACTAGCCAGCAGAGTGTAACTTCTCTTTTTAGGTGATTTAGTGTTTTTTAAAAATATATCTTATTAAGGAATTCCCCTTGAATATTGAGCTTGTAGTATGTGTATAATTTTTTTAAAAACCAGCCTATTTAAAACGTGTTTTAGGTATCTAAAACACATAAGGCATTGTATGCTACAGACTAGATGATAGAGGAGATTCAAGTATGAATAAACCCCAAATTCATGCCTTAAGAAGACAGCTTATAATTAGCAGTAGCAGAACAGTCTGTGAGTAACCAGAAAGTGGAGCAGGGAGTGAATGGTACAGGAGCCAGAGGGAGAAGCATTTTCAGGGATGGGAGATTTTATAGAACTGAGGAAATTCTCATAGACAAGAAAATATGGAGAAAAGACGTGATGTGGAGGGGAGAGCAAAAGACTGGTCAGGGAAGCTGAGAAGTATTAGCATTGTGAACATCTATTGCTGTCTATGTTATTTTAATCATTGGATTTTTGCATAGTATGTAATATGCCCTACAATGTTCAGGGAGGCTTAGAGAGATTGCCCTTGTGTACAGTATTCTGCTATTCTCTATAGAACTGCTCTCACAGTTTAGTTAACTGATGTCAACTGTAATCCAGAAATATTATGTAGAACATTCCAGAGAGGACACTGAGGTAGCTCAGTAGGTAAAGGTGTTCGCTACTAAGTCTCACAACCCAGTTCAACCCCTGGGACTTACATGGTGGAAAAGAAAACAATTCTCACAAGTTTATCCTCTAGCTTCCACATATACACCATACATGTATGTGTGTCACACACACACACATAAACACACACACACACATACACACACACACTGAATAAGAAAATTCCAGAAAACAGAAAGAAAACATTTGAAATTGCATGCCGCTGTGTATTGTGATGGAACCTGTGTGCCATGAATCACGCCTTTGCCAGCACATGGATGCTGTAGACACCACTAGCCCATTATGTCTCTTAGTTAACTATTACCTCAGCTATTGCATCTCAGTGCTTGTGCTCAAGTGAACCAGATTCCACTTATCCTCAAAGCACAAAAATAGTGGTGCAGACAGCAGAAGAAATGTGAAAGACAACCCATAAAGTGCCTTTAAGAGAAAAGATAAAAGTTCTCAGTTTAATATGAAATGAAAAAAAACTCATATACTTAGGTTGTTAACATTTATAGTAAAGTATGGGGGAAGAAACCACATTCTCAAGATTTTTGTGATAGTATAGTGTTGTAATTGTCTCACTTTATTATTACTATAAATTTCTTGCTATATTGAGTTTGTAAATTAAGCTTTGCCGTTGACACATCTGTATAGGAGAACCAATCATGGTGCATATAGAGTTCTGTACCTCCAGTGGTTTGGGCATCCACTGCAGGTCTTGGAATATATTCACCTCAGATAGGTGGACACTTGTCTATGTGCTCATGTAATTGTACCTATTCAATTTGGTTTTTGTAAATCACCTCAACACTAGGTATTGTTTCTGCTTCCTTCAGGGTGATCTACACAGGCTGGTAAAATAGTTATCGGACATAGATGTTAGAAGTGGCAACTACACCAAACTATTCTCAGAAAACTGCTTGGCTTTAGATTCCTCCATTAGAGCAACAAAGGTCCGCAAGCCCATCAGAAATGTTTATTAAATATTCTACTAAGTCACTCATTGTCTTCTGGTAGGTTTTAATAAGAATATGCTTTAATGGAGACAATACAGTTTTCTCATACTTGTGTGTAGGTGGCTGTTAGCCAGTTGCATGTGATCACAGTGGGTACAGCTGTGAGTCACCTGTGTTTAAGCCATTTTCTCCATATTCCAGTGGTCCTTGCCAGGATGTGTCTTTTCATCCTGTGCATTAGTCTAAACTTGGGTTCTATCTTTCTCTGATCCCTACCTCGGGTCTAGGCTCCAGAAACAGGCAGAATACCACATTATTCTTTCTTGTACACTACATTTTACTTAGAATTGAAGGAATGGTTGAGTTTGAATTTAGGAAACTTTTCGAAATATAAAAGCCTGGCAACATTAGAGACTCCTGTTCCTGTCTGTCTCTGAAACCAACCAGCTTTCCACACCCATCTCCTGTTAAAGGGTTTTTCTCTCAGAGCAATCAGCAGAGGAGTCCCTCTTGCCTCTCTTAATCCCTCTGTGACCAATTGAACCAACTGTCAGAATCTCAGAGGTGTATTCCAATCAAAGCCCAGGATTCTTTGCATTCCTTTCATGTGTAATCTTTATCTTCTCACTGACTTGTAAGCATAGGTAATCATCCAGCAACTGTGGATCAAATAATCATTATGTATATATTGGTTTGAATATGATTGGCCCAAGGAGTGGCACTATTAGGAGGTGTAGCCTCATTGGAGGAAGTGTAGGGGTGGACAATGAGACTCTCCTCCTAGCCAGTCTTCTCCTAGCTGCCTTTGGAACAAGAAGTAGAACTCTCAGCTCTTCCAGCACCATGCCTTCATGGATTCTGCCATGCTTTCCACCATAATGATAGTGAACTGAACCTCTGGACCTGTAAGGAAGCCCCAATTAAATGTCCTTTATAAGAGTTGCCATGATGATAGTGTCTCTTCACAGCAATGAACCCCTAACTAAGATATACATACATACATACATACATACATACATACATACATACATCACCTTGTTCATATCCCTTTCCTTGAGCAACAGTGCAGTAGAGAAAGCTCACAGGGGCAAAAACTGAGTATATGCCTGCCCAGCAGTGGGAGTGCCTTGGGTAGGCAGAACCCAAAAGCCTAGTTTAGGCTAGAAGTGGTAGTGGCTCATAGCTGTAATCCCAGAATTCATGTAGCAGAGACAGGAGGGTGCCTGCAAGTTCAAGGCCAGCCTGGTCTACATAGTGAGACCTTGTTTCAAGAACAGAAAGGTAGGTTAGTGGGCAAGATGGCCCAGCAGGTAAAGGTGCAAGCCTAACTACCTGTGTTTGGTTCCCAGAATCCACAAGAAGATAGAAGGAGAGAACCAACTCCCCGTGTTGTCCTCTGACCTTCTCTCTCAGATATAAATTATTGTTATTATTACATTGTTAATGAAAGAAAAAGGGAAGGAGGGATGAGGAGTACAGAAACCTAGCTTAAAGGAAGACCTGACACACTAGCTACTGAGCAAAATGTTGTTGTCAGGTTTCTAAACATGGAAGTTGGCTTGATCCACCATTTTTAGCTTGTGCTCACTTTTCAGGTCCAAGAAGCCCATTCAGACTCATCTGCTCTACAGGAAATGGAAATGTTTAGGATTCTGACGTCATGCACCCTTGTCCTGCTTTGTCACTAACTCATTGGCTTTGCAGTCCTCCACAGGCTACTGAGGAAGTGATAGCATCTACCTGGATGGTACCTCTCATGACATGACCTTAAAAAGGATAGTTGAAAATGACAAAGCTCTACCAGAAGAGACATCGTGGTTGCTTTTCACACTGTTATGTGGTATTTGAAGTACCTCCCGAGAATCTATCATGTCCACTGAGGTGGGCCTTCTTGACACTGCTGGTATGGGTCCCATCATTTCTTTCTTTTCTACTTCTGAATAGTCAGCAGAGGACAGCTAATGCCCCAGCATCCAATCAAGGTGGCCACATAAGCTGGGCCAATGTGCCATAATTAAAAATCACAAAACTCGCAGTCAAGTCTCAAATCATGTTAGCTCATATCTTTGCCCAAGCCACCTTCAGCCTCAGTTTCCTCAACCGTGAAAGAGTGTGACAACAATTATAACTACCTTGAAAGACTACTGAGAAGATTAAGAGTGAGTGAGTGCATTTTATAAGCTGTAAAGCGCTGTGCAAATGTTAGCTATTGATATTTCTCACTCTAGTGGATCACAGAGCTTGCCAGCAAAAGTAAATTACCAAAAAAAAAGGAGGAAAAAATCTTCCCACACATAATTATCCCAGCATTAAACACTAAAGAGAACTCAGGCAAGTGTGGGGTGGAAGGTCGTTCCTCTCGGTGACTCTCAGGCTTAGTCATACCCGCTAAAATAAATGCAGCAACCGCTTCTACTGAAGGTTTCTACCTTCTGGGTGACCTTGAACAAGCCCTGCTCCTCCTCCCTCCCTTTTTCCCTCTCTCAATCTTCCATTGTCTAGTGTGGAAAATATGGGTGAGGAAGCTGTGCCAGGTGATCCCCAAGGTCTGATGATGTAAGATTCTCTGGGTGGAGCCTCACAGGCAAACAAAACCTGATGTCAGCAGGCTGAGCAAGGAAATACAGACAAGGGCGGGGCCTGGGGAGCAAACACTGAACAGGAGGTCTTAGAGAGCAAGAGAAAAGCACAGGCAACAAGGGGTTTGGTTCCAAGTTGATTCTGATTTTAAGGGAGTCAGAGATGGTCCCCCTGACAATTCTCTGTTTATTGGGACCTAATGATAACTATAATTAGATACTGACTTCATGCCAGAAACTGCCCATGTGCTATCTCATTTCTTCCCCACAAGGGAAATGTTAAATTTCCTTTTTATTTTACGTTTTTAATATTTTTTTATTTTGATTTATTTATTTATTTATTTTTTGCTGATAAAGCAATTGAGAATCAGAGAAGTTACACCAGCTAATGTTAGCTCTTAGAACTAAAATAAAGCAGATCTGGCTGACTGCAAAGCCCATGAGGTTCTCCATTAGGATATACTGACAAGCCCCTAAGAAAGGTGCCATCCATCAGCAGCTTGGCAAATGAATAAGCTTATTGAAAACAATAGCTGAAATAACATATGCCTTCCTGTACTCTTATTGTAAGCTTCTCTGACACCTCTTATCACCTAGAGTCTTGCAGACATATGTGGTTTCGTATAGCAAGGAATCCCAGGAAAACCCTCCTGCCATAAAACCATCTAGATTCAAACAAAAAAAATCTAGCTGAAGAAATACTCCTCCCCCTCTCCTCCTCCTCTCTTCCCCGTCTTTTCCCCCTCCCCTTTCTCTCCCCTCCCCTACCCCTTCCCTCCCCTTTCTCCTCCCCTAGCACACCCCACTCTTATTTTCACCCAGTGAAGACCACAGCTCCCCAAAGAGCAGCTCTGGCCTCTTGCAAGATGCTGGTGTGTTGGCTGTTGCCATGGTGATGGAGGAGCATCTCTGTCATGCACACATGAGCAGCACAGAGTGGGTTTCCTCTGCCTGGAAAACTCAGAGAATTTATCAGCAGTTGCTTTCCAGCAGCATCTTCACACTGCTTCAAGGATGAGTGAAAGTGCAGCCCTTCGACTTAGAATTTGCCCCACACCAGAAGCAAGACTAAGCTTTCCTCATCCGGTCTGTGTCTAAAGCAACCCCCTCCCTCTACTGCTGAGACAGTTCCTGTTTAATGGAAGTACCTTCCAGGTGGTAGGAAAAGGAGGGGGGAACTGTTGGGTTTACAGAGTAAACAGACAGTCCTTGGCTTCCTAAGCTTCCTTGGCTAATATCAGTTATGTGCTAATTAGAGCTTCAGAGTCAGACCCATGTGGGTTTGTTACTTGCCTCCGTCACTTATATAATACCATTTCTTTATTAAAACTCCTTATCTATAGAATTAATTATTATTTGCAAAGCTGTTTTTAAAAAATTAAATGAGATTTCACATAAATAGTATCCAATATCAAGTCTGGCATATGTCAGGAACATATTCCTGATAGAAATTATTTTAAAGAAAGTCTAGGGGTTTGGCTCACAAAGCAGAGTGCATGCCTCTCGGGTGTAAACCATGGGTTAAAAGCCCACTGTCATATAAACCAGGCGGCAAATGTCTATAATCCCAGGACTCAGAAGATAAAGCCGAAATGTCAAAAGTTCAATGTCATCTTTCATGGCACAGTGAGTTCAAGGACTGCCTAGAATACATAAGACCCTGTCTCAAAACAAAAACAAAACAAAAAACTTAGAAATTATTTTAAAGAAAGTAACTTAACAAAACCTACGTTCTAACTTTGAGACAGTCGATACTCGAAGCCTTGGATCATCACTCGGTGGACTGATAGCTACATAATATTTTCTTTTGAGAAAAAAAAAAGAGATTGGAACAACCTGAGAGTCTGTGAATATTTTAATTAGAAAACATGGTTACGATATCTCTGGTGGCAACTTAAGGGTTTGAACTAAAAGGAAACGAAAGATCCTATGATTGGCAACATGGCACGGCATGCTAACTCTGCCTTCACTGAGCAGCATCTATGTGCTAAGCATGATGACAGTGCTGTGTGTTTGCTAGTCATTTAATCCAGGCAAGAGCAGTTATGAGGTGGGCATCATTTTTGCAAATGAGCAGTATAAGGATATGTGTAACCTGCTAGTAAGTTGCAAAATAAAAATGAACAACTTCTAAATCTTTCCTTACTGTATCTGTACATTAAAAAGAAATTTTCCTCCAGTGTCAAGCCATGGCACCACATTACGTGAGTACCTACATGACTGTCCTCAGAGAAAGGCTCCTTGGTACCTAGGCCAGCTTAGAACAGATGGCCCATTTCTTTTATTGAAAAACATCCAGCTTCAGGGATCTGAGGCAACAGTCATATTCCAAGATCTCACACTTGACTGCTGTCTTTGTGAGTAGGATTCTGCCCAACAAGCCTGTCTGCACTTCCTCTTCTGTCCTTCTCCTTCACCCTGTGTCTTATCTGCCAGTAAGCATGACATAACAGAGGATTCAAGACATCTAATCGGCTTACCTGCCCCCCATTCCAGACCGGGAATAAGTCCATATTCCTATTTACTGGTTTTTTCTCTTCTTTCTGCACTGCTGGTGTCAAAAGAATGTCTTTTCTCATCTCCAAAATAGCATCTGGTCCATTTGAAGCAGGCTAGCAGTAGGCTGTCTGCCAGCACCCTCATTTCTTGGCGGAGAGAAGGCATTCCCCATCCAATTATCTAAAAGTTTCCTCGCCTGATGATTCAGCCAGCCTCTCCATCGTGAGCCAGACCTGTGTAGCCTAAAGTCACCTTGAACAGATCGATAGTGATGAGCATTTTGTATCTGAACCTGAATTCTTGTTTCAGTTCTACTAGGTAGGAGTCTCATTCTCATTTAAGCAAATGAGGAAATGGAGGCTCACAGGAGATTTCCCTAAGGTCACACTGCTTGTCACAGAGAAGATGAGATTTAAATTTCAATTTCAAATTGACAAACTTTAAAAAAAAATCATTTATTATCCCATGTGTACTATATAGGAGGTAGCATGGGTCAGTTCTCTCCTTCCACCTTTACATTTTGTTCTAGGGCTCAAGTTCGTGTCATCAAACGTTCACGGGCAAGCACTTTACCCTCTAAACCATCTCAATGGCCCCAAATTCCCAACTTCAGAAGGAAGAATTGAACATTCACCGAACTCTTGCTTTTCCTATAGGCTATAATGAATGGTTAGAAAGTTCTGTGGGTTACAGAACATGGCTGTCCAGGGCATCTACCCCTGTGTAATCTGTAGTGCATCTCTAGGCCTTCATCTTTGCTTGGATCATCCTTCTTCATGCCTTGAAGCATGGTGCAGTTGGACAGCCACAGTTTTTGTGGTAAATACAGATGTTTTGGAATCTTGGTGCATCATTTGCATGCTTCTGACCTCAGGTAATTTATCCAACCCCTCTGAACTTCTCTCAGTATAAATAGGGCTACCTACCTCATGGTGTTGTCCTGAGGATTCATCTCAAAGTCCTTCTATGGTTCCCTAGCGGTTAGTAGCCACTCACTAGTATGACCAGCCCTAACAAGGCTGTCCATCCACCATCAACTGCTGGGATGTTTCCTGACTATGCTTCCCTCCCCTATGTCCTGACATTTTTCAATGTCTTTAGTTGAACTCGTACAACACTGTTATAAGTGGGTCATGTTCTCTCTACTCTCCCACCTTCCTTAGTCTAGAATTTTTTTCCAAGGGCAAAGATTCTTTTTATCTCTAAATCTTGAATGCTTAGCCCTTAGCCATGTGAGAGGAAGGAATGGAGGAAAAGAAGGGAAGAAAAAGAAAAGGCAAAAGAAAATGAAACCAAGACACAAGACTGTTTATGAAACACTGCAGTAAAAACACATCCTATCTCTGTATCCAGGCAAGCAGGAGAAACACCTGGTCTTCTCCCAGCCTCCTTTGCAAATGCTTCCCAATTCCCCCATTGACAAGAACCCACAAGACAGGAATACCAATGACTGCCTGAATAGGAAGTCTCTGAGGAGCCCCACACCCAGGGAGCAGACAGGCAAGTGATGAGTGGCAAGGCACAGCTGCAGAAAGGAAAATTCCGTCTGTTAGCCAATGGGGACAGACTGCAGCCCCAGGCCTGGTAACAGTGTGTGTGGTGTGACTGCGCCTGAGCTCCTCCCACTTCCAGCAAGTGTAGCTGCAGCCCCAGCAACAGCTCAGCCTGGCAGGTGATGAAGGCAGCTACAGACTCAGAAGGAAGGCAGGTGGTTGGCTGAGGCAGTACAGAGCTACTGCTTGGAGAATGAGCTTCAGGCAGAAGTGCCAGGGATGAGGAGAAGGTCTTTCCCTGGCTCCCCAGACAGTGACCGTGCCCACCACCAAACACTTAAAGGCTTTTTTGTTTGATTGTATGGTTGGTGTGGTTTGGCTTGGTTTTTTTGTTTGGTTGGTTTTGGGGTGGTTTTTTTTTTTCAAGACATGGTTTCTCTGTGTAGTTCTGGCTGTCCAGGAACCTACTCTGTAGACCATGTGGTACTCGAACTCCAAGATTCACCTGCTTCTGCCTCCCAAGGGCTGGGCTTAAAAGTATATGCCACCACCTCCCACTTAAGGGGTTTTTTAAATATCCATTTTAATCCCATCCTCCATAGAGGCTAAAGCCACTTGTTAGGAATGCATTCATGACTCTCCTTCCTACCTTTCTAGCTCACCCTCTAGCTCCCTGTCTGTCACGCTCTTTGTGGATGCTGTTTCCCTACATTTGAGAGGCCCCCTCGGCACTGTGACTCGGCCAGTTTCCCTAAAGCAGATCCCGAGACTGGGATTTGAGTGCAGATAATTTATTAAATGTGCCATCCAATGAAGCCCCAGTTGAGGTCTGAGAAGGTGT